ATATGTACTAATATAAAAATTAAACAGAGGTACAAAGCCTCAATACATAGGAATAAGTTTAAGAGACACGGCAATGTGAGGAATACAGTACTTAATGTCATACATTTCTAAATTGTTAAAAGTACATTTAAAATGCTTCACCAGAAAAAAAAAAAAAAAACTGGTGATAAATACATTATCTTGATCCGTTATGCCAAAACATATTCATAAATCACAGTATCACAGTTTGTAACTATGTAACTTGTCAATCTGTAATTTACAAAGACATATCAGAAGGAAGAAAATAGGGAAAAACAGTGACCTTTAGTCAAAAGGTCCATCCAGTAGTACAGAAAGAGAAAGTAAACGGGAAGAAATCAAACTAATAAATGAAGAAATAGACTAGTTTTGAAGAACATGTGTTTCCAAATAAGAGGTCCGAGAGTAGGCAACAGATGAAAAGACTCCAAAGCAATCTTATGCTTCATGTTGTGAGTTTCCAGACAGAAAGGCCAAAAGCTATAGTCAGGATGGCTGAAGAATTCTACAATGCTGGGACTGGGAAAAAGCAAAATCAGGTCCAAACTCTCAGTCAAGTACAAAGGGGAAAAAACCATTTTTGGACACAAAGGATCTGTGTTTCACCAAAATGAGAATAAAACCAAAACAGGAGGACATGTCTTCCAGAAAGCCAAGACTCAGAGAGAATACTGAGATTTGGAAGACAATTCCAGGTAAAGTCAAGATTACAAGAGGTTGGAGACACTGAAAAACACCAACTTCCAAACTTGTAGATACAAAGGACCTTTCTTGAAAGGAGACTTTAGACAACTAGTAAAAAATCTGGACCTCAATTCTAATAACAAATACAGAGAAAACTAAGCAAACAAAAACAAACAAGATTTTGTAATCTCAGGAGGGTGAGGCAGGAGGATTCCAGAGCAGCCTGGACTACATAAGCTAGTTTGAGGCAACCAGGAAGTATACAGCAAGACCCTATCTCAAAACAAAACAACAAACACACCCAAACAAGATTTGTAATACAAGAACATCAGCTAAAGTAATACTATTACACTATCTGGCCCAATTGTGCATGGCACTGTGTACACAACATACTTATGTACACTAAGACCTAAATACTGAACTGAATTAAGGATTTATCTTAGCTACTTTGGGCAGCCCTGAGTCTGTCAGTATAAAAAAGGCAAAGGAGTAAAACAAAGCTAGAAACTTCACATCTGCTCAGTGTCAAGTGAAGAAACAATATGTGAGACAAGGGTAGGAGATACAAATAAGTCAAGGAAACAAGCTCAGCATTGGAAACCAAGAATGGAATTCTATAAGAGGCTAAGGAGCATCCTCTGCAGGGAAGTAAATGTGACTGGGGGAAGGGCATCAGGACTTTTTTTGGTACTGGGGATTGAACTCATGACCTTATGCTTGCCAGGCAGGCACTTAAGCCGCTGAGCTATCTCCCCAGCCCTGTGACTTTTTCCTTACATGTCATTTGAAGATGATGACTATGAATTACATGAAGATACATTCTTTTTCGGGGGGGGGTGCAGAACAGGGGCTTGAACTCAGGCCCTTGTGCTTGCCAGGGAAGCGCTTATTCCACTGAGCCCCAAAAATATATTCCCTGGCCCCAAAATATATTCTTGATTTGAAAAAAATTTAATTTTAAAATTTATGAGGGTGCCAATAAAGAGTAAAGGAGGGGCAGGGGAGATGGCTCAGTAGAATAGGTGCTTGCCTGGCCAAGTGCAAGGGCCTAAATTCAATCCCCATTTCCACCAAAAATAAATAAGTAAATAAACAAATAGTAAAGGAGTACATATGGTCAGTACAGTCACCAGATTATTAACAGCAAATGTTAAAAGGATGACTAATACATTAGAGGATTCCCAGATTTGCCTCAGAACAGAAGCCTAGCTCATCTTAAGTGGTGCTCGAGGAACTGTGGAGAGCCTTGCAGAACAGCAGCCTACTAGAGCTTTCATCTTCAAAATGTCTCTAATTCTAGAAATTAACACAAAAAAACAGAAAATCAGTTTTTAAATGTCATACATACAAAGACTCCCTTTTCATTATTTTTCTTTTGGTTCCCAAATATTACGGTACTTCTGCAATTTAAGGGAAAATTCATTCTGACATCCTATACTGGTTGAGACTCTATGTCTGTTTCTCTTCTTGGTCAAAAATCTTTACATGCATCTTAGACTTTGTGCCACCAGAACTCAGCAACTAAGAGACAGCTGCATGCTGTCTTTGAGACTTTATTGCATAATGAAAAAAGGGAAATGATTCCCTACCACTGCTTGGCTTGGGAAGGATGTTCACACAAGAGGCCATGGCAACATGTATTCCAGAGTATGTATTCTGCTTAAGCCCTTTTAGTAAATAACTCCCTGTTGGGAGGCTCTAGTGGAGACCCACGAAAGAAGGTTAAGACATCATACTATAATAATTTAAAATTCTGCTCAAGTTAAATGTTTTAGGTGAGTCACTGAAGGACACGATGCCCTTATTCCATAGTCAATCAAACCCTCCACCCTCACAGCACTGGTAGTCCACCAAATTCTTATCTTGTTGCCATTTGCACCACTGGGTCTAGAGCACCCCATGCTGCCAACTCCACCTGTTAAAACTTATCTTTTAAACCCCAGTTCAAGAACACTTCTTCAGGAAGACACTCCAAGAAGTAACCACTGCCTCTTAACTCTACATCTTACACATATTTCCATTACTGCATTTATCACATTGGTTTTCTCTTAAAAGTGAATTTCCTAAACCACCAACTTCATGAAGTAAAAATCTTCCCGTTGCATCCTAAGAACTTAACAATGGCTGGTACTGGCAAGTTCCAATATATATTTTCTTTACATGTATATATGTGGGAAATAAAGCTGGAGCCTTCGCACTGAGTCACGTCCCCAGATCTTTAAATTTTGACACAGGGTCTCACTAAATTGCCAGGCTGAACTCTAAAGGGTGCTCCTCCCGTCTCACACTCCACCACACAAGGTAGAAGCCAATCATAAACCAAATACTATAAATTCTTCCATCAAGAGAATGGGAGAGGGGCTGGTGAGATGGCTCAGTGGTCTAAAGCACCTACTTAGAACAAGCTTAGCAAAACACAGGGACCACGGTTCAATCCCCCAGCACCACAAGCCAGCCAGCCCCGCCCCCTGGTGGGCTGAGCTGGCCACACACACACACAAACACACACACAAATAAAATTTTTAAAAAAAGAGAATGGGAGAAGCCAGCTGTCCATAAAAAGAGGGCGGTGACATGGAACTACTATCCTAGTCTTCCTCACACTTGATGTACTTTCTCCCAGGTGACCTTACTTTGATTCAACTGTGTTTGCCACACAGAATACAGTATCAAGAAAGTTTAAGGGGCTGGGGAGATAACTCAGTAGAATAAGCGCTTGCCTGACAAGCACAAGGGCCTGAGTTCTATCCCCAGTTCCGTCAAAAAAACCAAAAAAAACCAATGATCATTTCACTCTTTGGGCTGGGGAGAAGGCTTGGAGAATAAGCGCTTGCCTGGCAAACGCAAGGCCCTGGGTTCAATCTCCGGTTCAGCAAAAAAAAAAAAAAAAAAAAAAAAAGTTTAATCCTCATTGTGAGTTAAATGGCTTTCAGGAGTTGTTCCTGTCCCACTTTCTCCAAATCTAAGACTTTCAGTAGGTTAATAATGGTTGATGTTTCTGATCCAGGGAAGGGGGATATTCATATGCTGGCAGCTATTCTTAACCAAACAGGTACTTAAAAAAACACCACTTTCAGGTTTTCTACTGTATCTTGCACTTAAAAGTTTACCTCAGCGTTAAACCCTTCCAGTGTTCAACATTATCAAAATACAAACTTAAGCAAGCACTAGATTCTGTCCGTTGCTATACCACGTATACCTTCATGAGCTTACTATGTACTGCGGCCACCAACAACCTCAGACAAAATCCTGTCTTGTGCCTTAACCAGACTGAAAAGGTTTTCAGAGTCTGCTAAGAAAGCCACTGACTTTCCTCACACATCAAATAAAATGTGTGAAGTCATTTCCAGAGAAGTGTGGGACAGCTCAAGGGCAACTCTGTAAATGAAGATTACCACCTCCCCAAGTTCCTCCAGGCCTTTCCATTGACCGTTGAGCATTTTTAAAAATCAAAACACAAGTCGGTGGTCACTTTGGTTTGCAGAGTGCGCAGCCCCATGTCAAGTCTGACGCGCTTCCGTTGGGTGGGAGAGAGCACAAGGCAGCGACCATCAGCAGCACCTGACCCCTTCTCTTCGAGGGGCTACGCAAAACGCCTTCACAACACGCCCTGTGTCGGGGCGGCACCGCGCTCGTCACCCACGAGGGTCGCCAGAAGCGCTCTCTCCATTAGGCTATCTTAGGGAGGCTTCCTGGGGAGGGGCCTCGCGCCAGGCCCGCACGGGCGTTCTCGACCGCCTGCGGCCTAGGGGGGCCCGGGACGGAGGAAAGGACATCTGGCTGCGAGGCCGCGCCCGTCCGGTGAGGCCGCAACCGGGTACGGTACGCTCCCAACTCCGAGACGGCGCTGGGAGAGGCCTCACCTGGCGCCCCCGACCAGGAGGAGCGAGGCCGCACCGGCTCCGCCCTCCCCCACGGGCGCGGGCCGCCCGGCACCGGAAGGCCTCCTCCCCGGGGACCCACGCGACTCTATGGTGTGCGCTGGCGTGCTCCCGCGGGACCCGCGGGCAGCCAATCCCGGGGCGGCGACGTACCATCGAGACGGCCGCGGCGGCGGCCAGAGCGGCCCCGCCGGCGTTCGCCAGCCCCGAGCCGGCCCAGCACAGCGCTCGCAGCTCGGTGCTGCCGCCATCTTCCTGGAGGAGAGGTCCCGAGTCGAAAACCCCCTCCCTGTCTCCATTCGGCACTCTCCGCCACCTGCCCGCCCCGGCCGCCTCTTATCTTCTTGGTCACCTAACTTTCTGGTGAAGCGTCCTTTCCCCCACTGTAGTTACCCACAAGGCGAAGTATCTCATTACCTTTTCCAATCTTATTAGCGTGAAGAAGAAACCAGGCTCATAAGGTAGGAACTGTGGCGAAATATGGACAAGACGCCATCTTGGTAAAGGAGAAGAGGCAACGCTAGACCTACTCCCCCCCAGCCTCTATATGGCCAACCGCCGAGGGAGGGGCTCGGCACCTGCACGGACGCTAACCAGGGGGTGCGTCTGCGCCTGCGCGGTGGGAGTCGGCCCGAGCAGGGCGGAGACAGGCGGCGCAGCTAGGGCTAGGAATGAGTTGGCAGGGGGCGGTGCGCCGTGGTGACGTAATGTGCGTGCGGGGCGGGGCGGGCGCGTTAGCGGCGCGATTGTCCTCTTGTCTTTCCGGCGGCGCGTTGGTGAGTGTGTCTTGAGGTTCCCCGACCCCGTGGCGGCTGGAGCTGGAGGCCTGCCCTTCCTTGGGGAGTGTGGGTAGGACTCTCTCGCCGTAGCCCTCGGGCAGTGTTCTGTGGCTCTGTGGGTAGGCTGCGAGGGCGGGGCGGGCGTGGGGGAGGAGCGCCCGGATCCCGGAGCGAGCGGCGGGGCTAGCGCCCACCCGAGAGCGGCCGTGGAGCCGGTAACAGGGGCCGGCTCCTAATACCGGGCGTTGGGTCGTCGACCGCCGGCAGGCGTGGCGTTGTGGAGGGCGGCTGTGGTTCTGTGGCCATCTTGTCGTTCTAACGGTGCCGTTTTGTTCTGGGAAGGAGGACGGCGGGTCAGCCGCTCCGCGACGTTCGCAGGACTCTCCTGTCAGCTAGCCCGCCCCGGGGATAAGCCAGGGTAGAAAGGCCGTGCCTTGGCCGTCCGCTGCGGCTTTTTGCGGACTGTGGTGACGTTAGAGCCCGGGGGGCGGGTTAGTTCGCGGGGAGGGACTCTGGGCAGGGATGGTGGGAAGCAGTGGGCCTCAGCTCCGACGCGGCCATGCCCGGACAGCGCTTGGGCTTCTTTCTCTCTGGTCCCTTCTCGTCATTGCCATCTACTTTGCTTCTAATGCCAGCACTGACTAACCCAGAGCCCAGCCGAGATGAGCTGCTAGTTCAAACTGCTGTGGTCTTCCACACCACTAGCCTGTGCCCACACCCTGTATTTGCTCTGGAACGCCGTTAGATTGTCAAGTATTTCCTGAGTGGCCCAAGTCATTGTAATACTTACAGTAAATATTTAATGTTTTGGAGTAGTATTGGTCATCGTAAGCATGACCAATACTACAGTGGTGTAAAAATCATGAAAGCTGTTTTCTAATAGTTGTAATTTTAAGTTTATTATTTTTAGCGTTTAGTCTTGGTAGTTCCCATTCAGGAATTCTTTGTACCACCCCCATTATACTGGCAATATTTACCATTACATCTACTTTTGATACTCATTTTCTCCCATTTTTCACCATAGCTCAGAGTAAAGACCAAGAGCTTTTCTCTTGTTGATGGAAACAAGTTCTTGCTGTGCGCTATAGACTGGACTCACAGTTGGAAATTTCTTTTACTTTTGTCTCTAGGTGTCTCTAGGCAGGCCGTCATGCCCAGCTTTAAAAGCAAGAACATTTAAATCAGACCAGATCTCATTCTGATTTAGCAGGGTGTCCTAGGGAAACGAGGTGTTGTCTCCCTCTCATCGTTCATGAATATGATTCACGTCCCTTTATCCCAATTCTATGATAGAGAATTATAAAAGGGAAATTTGCCACCCCCCCAAGGGTTCACCACAACTCATTTGACCAAAGAATGAAGATGGGGTTGTTTAGCCTGTATTTATGCCACTCTATGTTAATGGTCATGCTTCACTATAGAAAGTACTTTGATTATGGGGTGCCCCAGACCCAGGTGAGAGGATTACATTTTATATTGTACATGTGCATTTTTCAAATTTGAAGAATCTGAATGAGAAAACATCTGAAGCATTTTGGCTAAGAGATTATGAAACTCAGAATTCTACATTGGGAGGCAGAATCATTTTGTGGGTTTGGGATATAAGATTAAAGTTTGTGTAGGAATGGTAGCTCCTAGTTACACATGAGTATCTCATTAATATAAATAGCACTCGCAAAACAAGTTTATAATGCCAAGGGTAGCTTTAGCTGTCATTTTTCATCTCATGAAAATTTGGTTCTAATGTGTATTGGAACGAGCATACTGTAGAATAAGGAAACTGGATCAAGGATAAAGAACAACTTTGACATTTGCAGTGATCACGATATAAAGGTAAAATTTTCTTTTCAGCACATTTTTGAGATTCAGGAGCTCTAATTGGTCAGTACTCAAGACTTAAAGTTAATTGCTTTCTTTTATGCTCTGTGATGCTGGATCAAGCATTTCTCAATGAAAACCAAGTACTTCAGAATTTCAGTTGTCCCCTTTCATTTTACTTTAGTTCATAACTTCAATTGTTAGGAAATCATTTTAGATCACAATTATATTTCAGGGAAAACTTATGAAACTAGGAAGTGGCAGGAAGAACTTGGTAAAATTAAAGCACAGTTGAATGAATGTCTTTTGAGAATTCAGATTCTTCTATTTTACTATACTTGTGCCTTAGGGGGTAGATCTTGGGAGGGAGACTGATGGGACTGAGTCACCTTTCTCCCCTCCGGGAACACCATCAGCCCTCAGTCATGGGTGTCCAAGGGGACAGACAGCACTCTCACGAAGTTACTCAGAGCCAACACAAGCCCTCACAGTGGACAGCATGGCTAAGAACCCCTTTTTCAATAATGCGTGGGTTCTGTTGAGGACCAAAGAGTCATTTCAGGATACTATGGCGGCACACTGTGTAGGTTTGAAATCTGATACATGAATTAACTGTTGAGTGCACCTTTTCCTCAATGTATCCTTGCATGTAAACTTGAAGGGTATTACCCAATCCTTTTTTTTTTTTTAATTTATTTTTATTTGTGTTTGGGGGGCAGCTCAGCCCACCAGGAGGCGTGGCTGGCTGGCACGTGGGGCTGGGGGATTGAACCGTGGTCCCTGTGCTTTGCTAAGCTTGTTCTAAATAGGTGCCTTAGACCACTGAGCCATCTCACCAGCCCCTACCCAAGCCTTTAAAAAAAAAAAAAAAAAAAAGGCATGTCTAAAGGTATTCCAGGTTTAACTGTAACTACTTAACGTTAACTTGGGGAAAATATGGTTTGATTTTTGGTGATCCAGATTTCTCCATTTCTGAATTTGTTACATGTTAAAAATTTCTTGCTCTGTTGTAAATGATATTTTAGCCTCGTTTTCATTCTTTTATATTGCTGTTATATAGAAACTTTTTTATGAGGAGTAATACTGAAGATTGATCCCAGGACTTTTACACTGAATTAATTTCCAGTCTTTTTTTTTTTTAATTTTGAGACAGGGTCTTTCTAAGTTAAGTTATCCAGGCTTGGCTCAAACTTGGAATTTTTCTGCCTCAGCCTCACAGAATGCTGGGATTGCATATGTGTACCACAGCACTCACAAAAATGTTTTGACTTTATCTTACTCTAAAATTGCCCCCTTTTTTGGACACAGTGTTACTGTTGTTCAGACTAGCCTCCAAGTCTTAGGCTCAAGTGGTCATCATCATCCAATAGCAGGAATGCAGATGGGTGCTACCGTGTCCAAATGAGTTGTTGGGTTTTGTTTTTTGTTTTTTTATGTTACTGGGGATTGAATTGAGAGCCTTCACACTGAGCTAGATCCCCAGTCCTTTTTTTTGAGACAACCTCTCACTTGATAGGTTTTTTTCACATAACTGGCAGAGCAGAGAAACGGCAGAAGGAAGAAGGGAAAGGGGCTTTATTTTTCCTTGAGGACTTAGGACAGAATGTGGGAAGGATGAGAATTCTCTGTCAGTTGGAACAAAGTGATGCTGAGGCTTTTGTGACCTTTTTCCGGGGCTGGAGTTTGGAGAGGATGTTTAGATATACCTGAGAAGTTGATTGGGAGTCCTCCCTGAGGCGGCGGGAAGGGCGGAATAAAATTATGTCCTGGGGCCGGGGAGATAGCTCAGTAGAATAAGCAGTTGCTTGGAAAGCTCAAGGACCTAAGTTCAATCCCCGGTTCTGACCAAAGAAAAAAAAAGAAGAAGAAAGAAAATTATGTCCTGGGCTAAGCTGGAGAAGAAGGGGGAGCTTGGTCTTGGTAAGATGGGCTTTTGTTTTAAGGACGTCGGCCATATTAGATGACCACCATGATGATTTTAGCAATTCATACTAGGCCAGAACCTATCATCAATAAGGTCCCCGACTGAGTTCAAACTTGTTATCCTGCCTCATCCTTTTAAGTGTTGGTATTATAGGAATGCACCATCATGCCTGGCTAGAATTCTTTATTTTTAAAGCCAAGGTATTTGTGTTTTCTGTGTATTCAGTCCTTGCAGCAAAAAAGTTTTTGTTTTTCTTCACTGTAGTCACTGAATTCACTTATGGTAGTATTAAATATTCATGGTGAAATTATCGTGTCTAGATTTTATTTGGTCCTGATTCAAATTTAAAAAAAAAACAAAACTCAGTTGAGAAATACAAATACTCAATGAGTATTTGGTTATATTAACTGACTAGTTTTTCCTAGATATGGTAGTGATTTTAGGAGCCATTTTTTTAGGATACATACTGTTCCTAATGAACTGTGTACCTCATTTTTTGTTTCTAAGTAGCTCATGGGCTACTGATATATCCCCTGACCCTGGCCTTTAGTTTCTTAACTGTTGAAATTGGATAATCCATGGTACATTGGGTTTTATTGCACTTTTGTGTTTGAAATTTTCTTAACTGCCTTAACATAATTATTGTAATGGACATTTATGCCTAATTGATTATAAATTAAGTTTACCGTTCTAGTTGTATTTAAGCACTTTGTTATTATTTTTGAGACAAAAGTTTCACTGTGTAGTTCAGACTGACCTTGAACTCGTCTACTTAGCTCAGGTTGGCCTCAAGCAGCAGTCTTTCTGCCTCAGCCTGTCCAGTGTCGGATGACTGGTGTGACCCATCATGCCTGGCATGAGCAGTTTATTCAGTGTTTGTTGCTGAGCTTTATTATGTACCTCATCAGCCCCTACTTACATTTCTTCTCTTTTAATTTGTTGTAATGGTTAGTATTGACAGATCTTTTGATAAATTTCTGAAATCCAAGTTACTAGCAAAGATTTTATTTAGACTTTTTGCCTTTAAGAGTATAACTGGCGCTGGGGAGGTGGCTCAGTAGAGTAAGACTTCCCTGGGAAGCACAAGGGCCTGAGTTCAATCCCTGGTTCTGCAAAAAAAAAAAATAAATAAATAAGAGTATAACTGATTTACAGTGTTTCTGCCCTTCATTACCTACTGAAGTAATTTTTTTTCTCTCACTTTATTGCTGGGGATGGAACCCAGAGCCTCATGCGTGATAGGCAAATACAGTACTGTACTCCTAAATTACCACCGCTCTCATTTAAGGAATGAATTTATTTGTTTTTGTTACTGATTTTTTTTTTTATTGTATTTTATGTTGGTACTACAAATTGAACTCAGGACCTTGCATTTGGCAGGCAGGTGCTTAAGCTGCTGAGCTCTCTCCCCAGTGTGAATTTCTTTCATTTATAATGACTGATAAAAAGTCATTAAGTTTCATCCCTGATTATTTGATTTAGGTGCTATTGATGTTGTGTTTTCTCTTGTTGCCTTTTCTAACTTTTTTTTTTTTTTTTGGCAGAACTGGGGATTGAACTCAGACCCTTGTGCTTGCCAGGCAAGTGCTTATTCTACTGAGCTATCTCCCTGCTTTTTCTAACTTTTGTTGGTTTGGTTAAGTTACTATTTTTCAGTTTGGATTAGCTTGATTAAGTTGGTTGTTTGGCTTACTTTGATTGTTCAGTTTAAGTGAAGTCAAGATATTAACTCTTGCTAAAATAACTCATACTCCATCTGTTGTCTTCCCTCTTCCTTTAGAAAGTTTTACTTCTCAGGGGCTGGAGAGATGGCTCAGTGGTCTAAAGCACCTACTTAGAACAAGCTTAGC